GCACTCCTCCTGTCTGGCCATTTATATACATGGGCCGGACGGGAAGTGGTTAAAAGAAACAAAGTTTCCTTTAGCTCAGGGAAAGCGACAGCTAATTCTGTTAGCTATAGTGAAGAAAAGAAAAAAAAGCCGGCAATTGCTCCTTTTATAAAAACAGCCACCTGCCCCTGCACTCCTTCCATCCGGCCATTTATATACATGGACAGTCCAGGAAGTGGTTAAAAGAAGCAAAGTTTCCTTTAGCTCCGGGGAAAGTGACAGCTAATTCTGTTAGCTATATTGAAGAAAAAAAAGCCGGAAATAGCATCAAAAAATTGGCATCGACATACACTTCGTATTGCGAAAAAAAAAAAAAATCGTAAAAAATTTGTAAACCGAGCCATTATTTTCAATGGATTTTCATTCGTAAACCGAAAATTACATTAACCGAGGCGTTGCAAAACCGAACTTCGCCTGTATCGGTTTTACCCCCACTCTACACCATAAAGATGTACTGACACTTCAATACACGCAGCCTACCATGTACTAGAATTCCAGGAGAACCTTCAGTAAAAATATAAAAAGGAATCTCTTACCAAGAACAAAATCTTCACCAGGCTCCCATCAACCTCTTCTACTTTGGACTTCCACCAGGTGCCCTCCCACTCTGTTTTTATCAGCTGACCACTCTTAAGCAGAACCATTGGGCGGTTGGGGTACGCAGTGACATATTCTTCAATGAAGTCCCGGCATGAAACATCTTCAATATCTTCCCAGGTTTTGGTTACTGGAAAGAAAAAAGAAAGGAACTATTAACCTCCCTGGCGGTATGATTATTTCAGATTTTTGGTGCTGAAAGCAGTACATTTTTTTGCATGGAAATATGTATTTTTGTTTATTGTAGGCTGTAATTTTTAGGAATAACTCCCTGAAATCTGTCCAAACAAGAGTCTAGTAAACATCCCGGGTATGATAAAACTTGAAACACAAAATCATAAATTATAATTTAATAAATAATCATCATAAAAAATAATATAATAATAAATTTAATTCAATAATGTAATCAAACCAAAAACACTGAAATTTGAAATATAGCGCCAAGTTCGCACATCGCTGAGCAAAGTCGCAGAATCGTTTTCAGTGTCTGATGAGGAATTTCCCCCACGAATCATTATCACTCAATTCTGCAAGTGGTTCTGATTTACTATCGCTGTTCTCTAGCCGGTCTAAAACCGCTTTTGACGTAAAGGGACGCTTTTTGGACGCCATGGACGTTTCTCAGTTTCCAGGCAGAAAGAACAGTAAAAATGCAGGCAGGGCACAGGACAAAGCACTCGGGACAAAATGTATGTGAAATGGTTTGATACAGTAATGTTTTACTATGTAATAATCATTTTTAAAAAAATGACATTTTTAAAAAACATTTCAAATTTGCCGCTGGTTCTGGCGCCCGTACGTCCCGACGTCACTGGGACCGGAACACGGAAGCCGGATGCCGGCATCGGCCGGAGGAGATGGCGGGGGACGCTGCAGGGGACACATCGTGGGAGCGAAGGACAATGTAAGCTCTGCAGGGACTCCCTGAGCAACGCCGCATGGTAAGCCCGAGTGTAGCTCGGGGTTACCGCTTTTGGTACTGAAACTCTACCCCGAGCTACACTCGGGAATACCGCCAGGGAGGTTAAAGAGGAGGCAAACCCACTTTTGTATCCTAATAAGGCTTGCCTATAGGTACTGTAAATATCTCCGTTTAGGACACGGGTCTTCAAAATCTCAAAAAAAAGGGCCAGTTTATTGCCCTTCAAGGTTTAGGGGTGGGAAATAGTGCCCCATCATTGGTGTCAGTGGGAGGAATAGTGCCCCATCATTGGTGTCAGTGAGAGGAATAGTGCCCCATCATTGGTGTCAGTGGGAGGAATAGTGCCCCATCATTGGTATCAGTGGGAGGAATATTGCCCCATCATTGGTGTCAGTGGGAGGAATAGTGCCCCATCATTGGTGTCAGTGGGAGGAATATTGCCCCATCATTGGTGTCAGTGGGAGGAATATTGCCCCATCATTGGTGTCAGTGGGGGGAATAGTGCCCCATCATTGGTATCAGTGGGAGGAATAGTGCCCCATCATTGGTATCAGTGGGAGGAATAGTGTCCCATCATTGGTGTCAGTGGGAGGAATAGTGCCCCATCATTGGTATCAGTGGGAGGAATAGTGCCCCATCATTGGTGTCAGTGGGAGGAATAGTGTCCCATCATTGGTATCAGTGGGAGGAATATTGCCCCATCATTGGTGTCAGTGGGAGGAATAGTGCCCCATCATTGGTATCAGTGGAAGGAATAGTGCCCCATCATTGGTGTCAGTGGGAGGAATAGTGCCCCATCATTGGTATCAGTGGGAGGAATAGTGCCCCATCATTGGTGTCAGTGGGAGGAATAGTGCCCCATCATTGGTGTCAGTGGGAGGAATAGTGCCCCATCATTGGTGTCAGCGGGAGGAATAGTGTCCCATCATTGGTGTCAGCGGGTGCCCATCTTTGGTAGGAGGATGCGGAATAGTGCCCCATCATTGGTGTCAGTGGGAGGAATAGTGCCCCATCATTGGTGTCAGCTGGAGGAATAGTGCCCCATCATTGGTATCAGCTGGAGGAATAGTGCCCCATCATTGGTATCAGTGGCAGGAATAGTGCCCATTCATTGGTATCAGTGGCAGGAATAGTGCCCCATCATTGGTGTCAGTGGGAGGAATAGTGCCCCATCATTGGTATTAGTGGGAGGAATAGTGCCCCATCATTGGTATCAATGGCAGGAATAGTGCCCCATCATTGGTGTCAGTGGGAGGAATAGTGCCCCATCATTGGTATCAGTGGCAGGAATAGTGCCCCATCATTGGTGTCAGTGGGAGGAATAGTGCCCCATCATTGTATCAGTAGGAGAGGAATAGTGCCCCATCATTGGTATCAGGGGAGGAATAGTGCCCCATCATTGGTGTCAGTGGGAGGAATAGAGTTGCCCCATCATCGGTGTCAGTGGGAAGGAATAGTGCCCCATCATTCGGTATCAGTGGAGGAATAGTGCGCCCCATCATTGGTATCAGTGGAATAAGGAATAGTGCCCCATCATTGGTATCAGTGGGAGGAATAGTGCCCCATCCATTGGTATCAGTGGGAGGAATAGTGCCCCATCTAATTGGTATCAGTGGGAGGAATAGTGCCCCATCATTGGTGTCAGTGGGAGGAATAGTGCCCCCATCATTGGTATCAGTGGGAGGAATAGTGCCCCATCATTGGTGTCAGGGAGGAATAGTGCCCCATCATTGGTGTCAGTGGGAGGGAATAGTGCCCCATCATTGTGTATCAGTGGGAGGAATAGTGCCCCATCATTGGTGTCAGTGAGAGGAATGAGTGCCCCATCATTGGTATCAGTGGGAGGAATAGTGCCCCATCATTGGTATCAGGTGAAGGAACAGTGCCCCATCATTGGTATCAGGTGAAGGAATAGTGCCCCATCATTGGTGTCAGTGGGAGGAATAGTGCCCCATCGTTGGTATCAGTGGAGGGGGAATAGTGCCCCATCGTTGAAGGAATAGTGTATCAGTGGGAGGAATAGTGCCCCATCATTGGGGGGAATATCATCGTTGGAAGTGGGAGGAATAGTGCCCCATCATTGAAAAGTATCATTGGTATCAGTGGGAGGAATAGTGCCCCATCGTTGGTATCAGTGGGAGGAATAGTGCCCCATCATTGGTATCAGTGGGAGGAATAGTGCCCCATCGTTGGTATCAGTGGGAGGAATAGTGCCCCATCATTGGTGTCATTTGGAGGAATAGTGCCCCATCATTGGTGTCAGTGGGAGGAATAGTGTCCTATTATTGGTGTCAGTTGGAGGAATAGTGCCCCATCATTGGTGTCAGTTGGAGGAATAGTGCCCCATCATTGGTATCAGTGGGAGGAATAGTGCCCCATCATTGGTGTCATTTGGAGGAATAGTGCCCCATCATTGGTGTCAGTGGGAGGAATAGTGTCCTATTATTGGTGTCAGTTGGAGGAATAGTGCCCCATCATTGGTGTCAGTGGGAGGAATAGTGTCCTATTATTGGTGTCAGTGGGAGGAATAGTGCCCCATCATTGGTGTCAGTGGGAGGAATAGTGCCCCATCATTGGTGTCAGTGGGAGGAATAGTGCCCCATCATTGGTGTCAGTGGGAGGAATAGTGCCCCATCATTGGTGTCAGTGGGAGGAATAGTGTCCTATTATTGGTGTCAGTTGGAGGAATAGTGCCCCATCATTGGTGTCAGTGGGAGGAATAGTGTCCTATTATTGGTGTCAGTGGGAGGAATAGTGTCCCATCATTGGTATCAGTGGGAGGAATAGTGCCCCATCATTGGTATCAGTGGGAGGAATAGTGCCCCATCATTGGTGTCAGTGGGAGAAATAGTGCCCCCATCATTGCGTGTGAGTGGTTGAATTAGTTTCCCTTCTCTGATATCAGTGGGATGCACAGTAGCCCTTTGTTGGCATCAGTGGAAGGAATAGTGCCCCATGGGCCAGATAAAGGCAAGCAAAGGGCCACACTTTGGAGAACCCTGGTTTAGGAGATATTTACTGTAGCAGCACCAGTGATATCACAGAGCACGCACACTGCACTCAATAGATGGCACGCCGTCCATGGAGAGTGCAGTGCACATGTGGCGGTGACATGTGCGCAGCCATAGGAGTGACGACATCATGGCTTGGCCAATCAGATGGCTGCAGATTGTGAACCCAGTAAGAAGAGCTGAAGAAGCTGGGAGCCACGACAGCGCCCCGCTGGAGGGTCTTCATTTTAAGGCAAGTCTTTCAATATGTGCATACTAGTACATTACGCACCTAACTTGCAGGGAGATTTTTTTTTTGCGGTTTACTACCACTTTAAGAAACCTGACCCGTTACCTGTCACAGTCAGTCAGTGTATGGACCGCACTGTCAGTGCCATTTATCAAGGAAACCCCGGAGAACATCTTCCTACTGCACTGGTGACTACAAGAAGAAGCATTAATGTCCCACTTACAGGAATCACTGGGCTGAAAAACACGATTGAACATTTCCCCAACGCAGCATGTCTACAGAGTAGTGCTGAGATCTGACTTCCATACATATCTCTCAGACGCAAAACCCACCCATGAGAATGTTTTTTTTTGGGGGGGGGGGGTGCATTCACAGGCAAATGGTTCTGCTTGAAGCTGAACTGTTTTTTTGGGGGGGATGCATTCACAGACAAATGGGTCTGCCTGAAGCTGAACTGTTTTTTTTTTTTTTGGGGGGGGGGGGTGCATTCACAGGAAAATGGTTCTGCTTGAAGATGAACTTTTTTTTTGGGGGGGATGCATTTACAAATGGTTCTGCTTGAAGCTGAGAATCTGACCTCCATACATATCTCTCAGAAGCAAAACCCACCAATGAGAATGCTTTTTTTTGGGGGGGGATGCATTCACAGACAAATGGTTCTGCTTGAAGTTGAACGGGTTTTTTTTTGTGGGGGGGGGGGTGCATTCACAGACAAATGGTTCTGCTTGAATCTGAACTGTTTTTTTTTGGGGGGGGGGGGTGCATTCACAGACAAATGGTTCTGCTTGAAGATGAGCTGTTTTTTTTTTTTTTTTTGGGGGGATGCATTCATAAATGGTTCTGCCTGAAGCTGAACTGTTTTTTTTTTCTGGGGGGGGGGTGCATTCACAGACAAATGGTTCTGCTTGCAGCTGAACTGTTTTTTTGGGGGGGGATGCATTCACAGACAAATGGTTCTGCCTAAAGCTGAACTGGTTTTTTTTTTTTGGGGGGGGTGCATTCACAAATGGTTCTGCCTGAAGCTGAACTGGTTTTTTTTTTTTGGGGGGATGCATTCACAGAAAAATGGTTCTGCTTGAAGTTGAACGTTTTTTTTTTTTGTGGGGGGGGGGGGGGGGTGCATTCACAGACAAATGGTTCTGCTTGAAGCTGAACTGTTTTTTTTTTTGAGAGGGGGGGGGGGGGATGCATTCACAGACAAATGGTTCTGCTTGAAGCTGAACTATTTTTTTTTTTGGGGGGGGGTGCATTCACAGACAAATGGTTGTGCTTGAAGCTGAACTGTTCTTTTTTTTTGGGGGGGGGTGCATTCACAGACAAATGGTTTCTGCTTGAAGCTGAACTGTTTTTTTTTTTTGGGGGGGGGGGGGGTGAATTCACAGACAAATGGTTCTGCTTGAAGCTGAACTGTTCTTTTTTTTTTTTTGGGGGGGGGGGTGCATTCACAGACATATGGTTGTGCTTGAAGCTGACCTGAAAGTGGTTTCAAACTGCTGAAATGAAATGGGAACAAAATATATCCCTCTATACTGAGTACTTGTCTCAGTGTTACTAAACCCCCAACATACAATCAGTCTGTAGATGCAGCAAAGCATGCTTGTTATACTCACTGTGGAACCTAAGGGGTTAATCCTCTGCATTGTAGAAAAAAGTCTGTTTGATCCTGTCTTCTTCTCTGATCCTACCCCTCTTCCAGTGTTCCCCTCTTATCTCCTGACAAGCCATACTCTCACTCATGCACATGCTCAGTTTGGAGTTTATTGCTAGAGATGTTTTTCCTTTCTTTGCGAGAGTGGACAGTGCTGATCGGCCCTGTGCTGATCGCATGCAAATGGAGGTCAGGGGTTCTGCATCCTCCTAGAGCAGAAAGAAAACTCCTCCTATAAGCTTAATCTTTAGCTCTCTTATCTCCTGATAAGACATATCGTGTGGAGACATTCTGCACATGCTCAGTGTGGTGTGTGTTGCTAGAGGGGTTTTTTTTTTCCTTGGGAGAGTACATGTGATCAGCACAGGGCCAACCAGCACTGTCCAGGCAGGGGCCAGGGGTTCTGCATCCTCCTATTACATTTATTTGAATCATACCTTGTTTTTCAGGACAAATTGGACTTTCATTTGGTGGTAAATGGTAATGGATATCTCCTGATTTTTTTTTTATCATCAAAGGAAAACTGGCCCAAAATAGTAAAAAAAAAAAAAATCATTTTTTTTTATTTTAGCTGTGCTTCTTGTTACTACCATAACCTACCACCAAAGAACCCCAAATTAATTCTCGTGCTTTTGACAATCGCAGCAATACCATATATGTGTATGTTAGTTGTTGTTTGAACCCGTAGTACAGCCCAGAAAAAATAGTGCGCATTTGCTTTTTCTTTTTTTTTTTTTTTTTTTTACCTAAAAAAACACACTGACATTGACACTGATACCAAATTTTTTTTTTTGTTAAAACCCTGACCTTGACCCCAACACTAACCCTGGCACTGAACTAGATAAAACATTGATCTAGGTATTTTTTCTTTATTTTTTTCTTTTATTTTTTAATATTTATCTTTTTTTTTTTTTTTACCTAAAACACACTGAAATTGACACTGATACCAAATTTTTTTTTTTTTAAAACCCTGACCTTGACCCCAACACTAACCCTGGCACTGAACTAGATAAAACATTGATCTAGGTATTTTTTCTTTATTTTTTCTTTTATTTTTTAATATTTATCTTTTTTTTTTTTTACCTAAAACACACTGACATTGACACTGATACCAAATTTTTTTTTTTTTTAAAACCCTGACCTTGACCCCAACACTAACCCTGGCACTGAACTAGATAAAACATTGATCTAGGTATTTTTTCTTTATTATTTTCTTTTTTATTTTTTAATATTTATCTTTTTTTTTTTTTTACCTAAAACACACTGAAATTGACACTGATACCAAATTATTTTTTTTTTTTAAACCCTGACCTTGACCCAAACACTAACCCTGGCACTGAACTAGATAAAACACTGATCTAGGTATTTTTTCTTTATTTGTTCTTTTATTTTTTAATATTTATCTTTCTTTTTTTTTTTTACCTAAAACACACTGACATTGACACTGATACCAAATTTTTTTTTTTAAAACCCTGACCTTGACCCCAACACTAACCCTGGCACTGAACTAGATAAAACATTGATCTAGGTATTTTTTTTCTTTTATTTTTTAATATTTATCTTTTTTTTTTTTTACCTAAAACACACTGAAATTGACACTGATACCAATTTTTTTTTTTTTAAAACCCTGACCTTGACCCCAACACTAACCCTGGCAATGAACTAGATAAAACCTTGATCTAGGTATTTTTTCTTTATTTTTTCAATATTTATCTATCTTTTTTTTTTACAAACATTTTTCCCCCTCTATGCCAGGAGTTAGAGAAATGCAACATATTTCTCTCCTCCATTCATAGAGAAAGAAAAAAAAAAACAAGGGGGCCGGGCTGTACAGTGACTGATCACTGTGATAGCCAATCAGAGGCTATCACAGTGATCATGAGACCCGGAATCAGGAGTCCTGGGTCGCGATTGTTAGAAGAGGACCCGGTGCTCTCAGTGACACCGCGGTCTTTGTGCTGGGAGTGCGCAGTGCGGCGCGCTCCCAGCAGAAAGACAGGTAATGCAAATATGCGGCCCCGTGGGAAAAAAGCCCAGTTCTGTGAGGCCGCATATTATTATACAGTATTTATATAGCGCCAAAGGGTATGCTCAGCGCTGTACAGTAGCAAGGGGGACAGAACATGAGACAAGACAGTAACAATACACTACACGAGGGATTCGAGAGCCCTGCTCTTTTGCGCTTACAATCTAGGAAATTTGTGTTACATCGGCATCAGGGGGTTAAAGAAATCCCCTTTTTGCGTCGTTTCCTTTGCACAATCTTCCTGTCCTGCAACCTATGTCTGCAGCACAACTGATCTACATTGTGACACAGCAACAAACTACTAAAAGGCGTAAAGAGAAAAGGACCTGTGCTATTAACCTCCTTAGCGGTCTGATTATGTCCATATTTCTGTGCTCAAAGCGGTACTTTTTTTGCATGGAAATATGTTGTATTTTTTATTGTAGGCCTGTAATTCTTAGGAATAACTCACTGAAATCTGTCTGAACAAGAGTCTAGTAAACATCCCGGGTATGATAAAATTTGAAACACGAAATCATAAATTATAATTTAATAAATAATCATAAAAAATAATAATAATAAAATTCAATAATATAATCAAACCAAAAACACTGAAATTTGAAATAGAGCGCCAAGTTCGCACATCACTGAGTTCAGTCGCAAAATCGTTTTCAGTGTCTGATGAGGAATTTCCCCCCACGAATCATTATCACTCAATTCTGCAAGTGATTCTAATTTACTATCGCTGTTCTCTAGCCGATCTAAAACCGATTTTTGACCTAAAGGGACGCTTTTTGGACGCCATGGACTTTTCTCAGTTTCCAGGCAGAAAGAACAGTAAAAATGCAGGCAGGGCGCAGGACAAAGCACTCGGGACAAAATGTATGTGAAATGGTTTGATACAGGAATGTTATACTATGTGATTTTAGTGTATTTAGTGAATGTCACTTTTTGACATTTTTAAATTTCCCGCCGCTCCGTCCCCCATACATGATGACGTCGCAGGGAACGGAACCCGGAAGACAGATGCTGGCATTGGCCGGAGGACATTACAGGGGACACTGCAGGGGGGACATCGCGGGAGCGCAGGACAAGGTAAGTGCAGAAGAGATCCCGGAGCAACGCTGCAGTGTATTCCCGAGTGTAGCTCGGGGTTACCGCTTGTGGTGCTGAAACTTTACCCCGAGCTACACTCGGGAATACCGCCAGGGAGGTTATCAGAATACTTCAATTGAAGTTAGTAAAATCTTAATCATTTCAATAATCTTCCCTGGTCATTGTACACAATTCAGCCCCCCAAAACCAAAAGATGATTTAACACTTACATGGCCTGCATATGGGGTACAGTTCTGAGTGTGTAACATAGGAAGCATAGCCGTCATCGAAGAAGATCAGAAATCTATAAAAACAGAAGTCAAAATATTAACAGGGCTCACAGCACAGCACATGCAAAGCTGGAAATTCAACTCTTCTGGAAAATACTAGTAGCTGAAAAAAAAAAAAAAAGTCAGACAATTCTATATATTTTAATAATTATGCAAATTTGTAAAATGACACATATAAATTGACTCATTTGGATTCATACCATTATTTTGTTTAGTACCTCTGAGATCCTGATGAATCCATATGTGACACACGTCAAGCAATAAATCATCCCCATGATTAAAGTGGCTGCAAACCTCAGACATTAAAAATGAACCAAACATATCCCTCTATAGTATGTACTTGTTTCAAACAAGAGCACCAAGTGTCATTTCTGTCATTTCTCTTCTATCAGCAGCATGAGTCACTTCTAAAAAGCTTTCCTGACACCAAGAGAAAAATGGTGACAGGGGAGGAAACTTCAGCACACAGCCTGTGATTGACGGCCTCTTTTCCTCTGTGTGGTGTGAAAGAAGGGGGGTGTCCCTCTCTTTCAATTAGTGCGTGTAATTTCACCTGAGGCCAGTCACTTCACTGGGTATATTTATTTATTTATTTCAGGTACTTATATAGCACTGTCAATTTACACAGCGCTTTACATATATAATGTACATTCACATCAGTCCCTAACCCTCAAGGGGCGTACAATCTAAGGTCCCTAACTCACATTCATACATGCACATGGTATATATAAGGGTTTACAACCACTTTAACCTTGGAAGCACTGTAACACAACTTTATACATATATACAGCACTCAAAATTTCTACTCGCCCACTCGCATTGGGCGAGTGGAAATAAGGTGGGGGGCGAGCAGCGCCAGGACTCTGGGTGTGTAGGAGGGGCGGCGACAAGCAGCGATCTCCTGTATGGCTTTCAATGAAGCAGCTGAAAGCCACGGGAGGGAGAGGAGGAGCAGCTGCTTAACTAAATCACTGGACACCTCACTGGGCGAGTGGAAGTAAGGTGGGGGAGAGCAGCGCCAGGACTCGGGATGTGTAGGAGGGGCGGGTGACAAGCAACGATCTCCTGTATGGTTTTCAATGAAGCAGCTGAAAACCGCAGGAGGGAGAGGAGGAGCAGCTGCTTAACTAAATCACTGGACACCTCACTGGGCGAGTGGAAGTAAGGTGGGGGAGGAGCAGCGCCAGGACTCGGGATATGTAGGAGGGGCGGTGACAAGCAACGATCTCCTGTATGGTTTTCAATGAAGCAGCTGAAAACTGTGGGAGGGAGAGGAGGAGCAGCTGCTTAACTAAATCACTGGACACGGCATTGGGCGAGTGGAAATAAGGCGGGGGGGGCGAGCAGCGCCAGGACTCGGGGTGTGTAGGAGGGGCGGTGACAAGCAGTGATCTCCTGCATGGCTTTCAATGAAGTAGCTGAAAGCCGCGGGAGGGAGAGGAGGAGCAGCTGCTTAACTAACGCACTGGACACCACATTGGGGGAGTGGAAATATGGGGGTGGGGGTGAGCAGCGCCAGGACTCGGGGTGTGTAGGAGGGGCGGCGACAAGCAGTGATCTCCTGTATGGCTTTCAATGAAGCAGCTGAAAACCGCAGGAGGGAGAGGAGGAGCAGCTGCTTAACAAAATCAATGGACACCGCATTGAGCGAGTGGAAATAAGGCAGGGGTGAGCAGCGCCAGGACTCGGGGTGTGTAGGAGGGGCTGGTGACAAGCAATGATCTCCTGTATGGCTTTCAATGAAGCAGCTGAAAGCCGCGGGAGAGAGAGGAGGAGAAGCTGCTTAACTAACGCACTGGACACGGCATTGAGCGAGTGGAAATAAGGCAGGGGTGAGCAGCGCCAGGACTCGGTGTGTGTAGGAGGGGGCGGTGACAAGCAACGATCTCCTGTATGCCTTTCAATGAAGCAGCTGAAAACCGCGGGAGGGAGAGGAGGAGCAGCAGCTGCTTAACTAAATCACTGGACACGGCATTGGGCAAGTGGAAATAAGGTGGGGGCGAGCAGCGCCAGGGACTCGGGGCGTGTAGGAGGGGCGGTGACAAGCAACTATCTCCTGTATGGCTTTCAATGAAGCAGCTGAAAGCCGCAGGAGGGAGAGGAGGAGCAGCTGCTTAACTAACGCACTGGACACCGCAATGCACTGTACCTGGTGTGCTCTCCTGTTGCTCCTCTGGCTGCAGCAGGTAAAATCGGGGACTTCCAGGCTGCTGCTTGTTGGGTCCTCGCTATCGAGGACCCAGTGAGCAGCCTAGCTATTTTCGGGTTTTTTTTTAGTTTTTTTAAATTTACGGCTGTCCTGGTGGGAATGATAAATGGCTTTGGCAGGCCGTATGCGTAGCTTAAAGACCCCTGGTGTAAGCCATGACTTATAGGGGCTTACGCCATAAACTCAATGAAGAACTTGAACTCAGCACCATAATATAGAGGTCAATATGGCTGTATTGTTGCGGTATATAATCTATTAATCTGTTTCCCCCCCCTTTTTTTTTTTCTCAGGCTCTACATCTAATTTATTGATCTGTATGCAATATAAATGGGTGGTTGGTTCATTCCCTTATAAACAACAAACAGTAAGTATGCGTATATATCACTGTGCTATGTTTTTGATCCCCAATAACTGCGGTCTCTTTTTCTACACATTAGAATGTCTACTTATGACTCCTACTATTATTAGATTACATATAATCCCTTGATTTATAATAGGTTTCAAGCCATAATCCGCACAGTAGGGGGAAGTCCCCTTTATACAGTCTGAGCCTACTATGATTTCTGCCCTAACAAACCAGTACGTCATAATTGGAATTGGCATTGAAGTAGTATTATATAACTTCAAGTTGTCACATTACAATCACAGAATTACAGGCTGCCTTTTCCTTTTTTATATATTGCAGTTGATCCTCTTTCATTGTTGGCTCTAGACCAGCAATGAGCAAACTACGGCCCGGCGGACCTTTTAATCCGGCCCATGATGCTGTCAGGATGTGTGTAGGCGGGGCAGCGTGACGAACGTGAGGGGAGCTAGGCTCCTCTCACAGTCCGCCCTGAAGACCGGAACGGCACGGGAACACACGGCGAGAGGAACGCGCGGAGCAAAGGTAAGGGGATGAATTACTATATGGGGGACGAATTACTATAGGGGGGGACGAATTACTATAGGGGGGACGAATTACTATAGGGGGGACGAATTACTATAGGGGGGACGAATTACTATAGGGGGGACGAATTACTATGGGGGATGAGTTACTATATGGGGGATGAGTTACTATATGGGGGATGAGTTACTATATGGGGGATGAATTTCTATGGGGGATGAATTACTATATGGGGGATGAATTACTATATGGGGGAATATTACTATACTTACTATGGATGACACATACACATCATTCATCTACTCTTGGTCCGGCCCCCGGGTCCAATATATGAACCCATTGCGGCCCTCAAGTCAAAAAGTTTGCCCACCCCTGCTCTAGACCAATGTTTTATTACTTGTACTTATGGTTTTTATTAGTACATAACATTATTGTTCCCATTATTAGTATATTTTTATTTTATGTTAAATGTTCAATAATCCTTCTTCTTGCTGCTATTAACCCATGTATTATATACTGTTGCATCGCACTACCATGCCACTACCTAGCATTTTATTATATGTTAAATGTTCAATAATCCTTCTTGCTGCTATGAATCCATGTATTATATACTGACGCATTGCCAGGGGCGGACTGACCATTCGAGCACTCTGGCACTGCCCGAGGGCCTGGGGTCAGTAGCGGGCCCCATGAAATGCCCCTGGTACCTTTTATAGGCTTTTTTGGGTGTGCTTTGAGTGTGGTCAAGGACACAGGGGCCCCATGATCCCCTATTGCCCGGGGGCCCCATGAGCTGTCAGTCCGCCCCTGCGCATCGCACTACCGTGCCACTATTTAGGATGGTCACCGTGCCTTCTTTATTCTCGGTATCGTTGTTGTGTTGGCAACATTTCCCTAGTTATCACATGCGCCACTTGGCACTATTGTAGTTATCAGCCCATATTGTTATCTTTTTAATCCCCTTATCGGTCCTGTCAAAGTTTGGGCTGATCTGTATCCTTGTTACTGCCCCCCCTCTCCTGCTATATAATATGGCTGTGTCCCCGTGGGCAGGTCTTGATGAAGAAGCGAACTGCGCATGCTCAAAAATGCATCCCCGCCCCCTCCTGACGTCACTTCGGGTCCGTGCATTCCACTTGGCACTATTGTAGTTATCAGCCCATATTGTTATCTTTTTAATCCCCTTATCGGTCCTGTCAAAGTTTGGGCTGATCTGTATCCTTGTTACTGCCCACCCTCTCCTGCTATATAATATGGCAGGTCTTGCTGAAGGAGCGAACTGCGCATGCTCCAAAATACACCACTGCCCCCTCCTGACGTCACTTCGGGTCCGTGCGTTCCACACCGGTGACTATCTTGGCGCTGTGCTCTCAGCTCACCCTGAAAACTGTAAATGTACCCCAGACCAGTCTTAGGCCACAGTCACATAGGGCATATCAAACAGTACCCTGTGTGAGGGCCGTATCTACCTGCACATGGAACAGAGGTGTTCCGTGCAATCCCATGCAGGCCATTCCACTGATGCCAACTGGGACGCAGTGGCTGCAGGGACATGGTTGCTGCTCCTAATATGACATTCATGTGGGTGCACAATCTCGAACGCAGACAATGCACACCTGTGCAGGTGAACAAGGCATTTGAATGGGGTACAAATGAATGCTTCCCAAGTGAATGAGGGATTAGCCTCACAGGGATCACCATTGTAATGACAAATGCTAGAAAAAAAATTGCTGAATAATGGGAATAAGAGATTGTCCTGAGCTTTTTTAGGTTTCTGAAAATGTTTTTTCTTTTGTCATATTTAGTTTTGCCTTCTTGATAAGGTCCTAAAAATGTCACAACAAGCAGACACTACTTCATAAACCAGGCGTCTCAGAGTTACATAGTTAGTCTGGTTGAAAAAAGACAAAAGTCTATCCAGTTCAACCATAAAAAAAAAGTATCCTATACCCACAGTTGATCCAGAGGAAGGCAAAGAAACCCAGCAAAGCACGATCCAATTTGCTCCTGCTGGGAAAAAAAAAAATTCCTTCCTGATCCCCCGAGAGGCAATCAGATATTCCCTGGATCAACTTTACCTATAAATGTTAGTTTCCAGTTTATATTCTGTGTATCCAAGAAACAATCCAGGACTTTTTTGAAGCAATCCACTGAGCTGGCCAGAACCAACTCTTCAGGGAGTCTATTCCACATTCTCACAGCTCTCACTGTGAAGAAACCTTTCCGTGTTTGGAGATTACATTTCTTTCCCTCCAGACATAAAGAGTGCCCCCTTGTCCTCTGTGATGACCTCAGGGGGAATAGTTCTACACCGAGTTCACTATATGAACCACTGATGTATTTATACATGGAGATCATATCCCCCTTATGTATTATACATGGAGATCATATCCCCCCTTATGTATTATACATGGAGATCATATCCCCCTTATGTATTATATTTGGAGATCATATCCCCCCTTATGTATTATACATGGAGATCATATCCCCCCTTATGTATTATACACGGAGATCATATCCCCCCCCTTATGTATTACACAAGGAGATCATATCCCCCCTTATGTATTACACATGGTGATCATATCCCCCCTTATGGATTATACATGGAGATCATATCCCCCTTATGTATTATACATGGAGATCATATCCCCCCTTATGTATTACATGGAGATCATATCCCCCCTTATGTATTATACATGGAGATCATATCCCCCCTTATGTATTATACATGGAGATCATACCCCCCTTATGTATTATACATGGAGATCATATCCCCCCTTATGTATTATACATGGTGATCATATCCCCCTTATGTATTATACATGGAGATCATATCCCCCTTATGTATTATACATGGAGATCCCCCCTTATGTATTATACATGGAGATCATATCCCCCTTATGTATTATATTTGGAGATCATATCCCCCCTTATGTATTATACATGGAGATCATATCCCCCCTTATGTATTATACACGGAGATCATATCCCCCCCCTTATGTATTACACAAGGAGATCATATCCCCCCTTATGTATTACACATGGTGATCATATCCCCCCTTATGGATTATACATGGAGATCATATCCCCCTTATGTATTATACATGGAGATCATACCCCCCCCTTATTGTATTATACACGGAGATCATATCCCCCCCCTTATGTTATACACATGGTGATCATATCCCCCCTTATGGAATTATATACATGGTGATCATATCCCCCCTTATGTATTATACATAGAGATCATATCCCCCCCCTTATGTATTATACATGGAGATCATATCCCCCCCCCCCTTATGTATTATACATGGAGATCATATCCCCCCCCCCTTATGTATTATACATGGAGATCATATCCCCCCCCCTTATGTATTATACATGGAGATCATATCCCCCCCCCCTTATGTATTATACATGGAGATCATATCCCCCCCCCCTTATGTATTATACATGGAGATCATATCCCCCCCCCCTTATGTATTATACATGGAGATCATATCCCCCCCCCCTTATGTATTATACATGGAGATCATATCCCCCCCTTATGTATTATACATGGAGATCATATCCCCCCCTTATGTATTATACATGGAGATCATATCCCCCCCTTATGTATTATACATGGAGATCATATCCCCCCTTATGTATTATACATGGAGATCATATCCCCCTTATGTATTATACATGGAGATCATATCCCCCTTATGTATTATATCATGGAGATCATATCCCCCCTTATGTATTATACATGGGTGATCATATCCCCCTTATGTATTATACATGGTGATCATATCCCCCCCTTATGTATTATACATGGAGATCATACCCCCCCTTATGTATTATACACGGAGATCATATCCCCCCCTTATGTATTACACATGGAGATCATATCCCCCCTTATGTATTACACATGGTGATCATATCCCCCCTTATGTATTACACATGGTGATCATATCCCCCCTTATGTATTATACATGGAGATCATATCCCCCCTTATGTATTATACATGGAGATCATATCCCCCCTTATGTATTATACATGGAGATCATATCCCCCCTTATGTATTATACATGGAGATCATACCCCCCCTTATGTATTATACATGGTGATCGTATCCCCCCTTATGTATTATACATGGAGATCATATCCCCCCTTATGTATTATACATGGAGATCATATCCCCCCTTATGTATTATACATGGAGATCATATCCCCCTTATGTATTATATACGGGGATCATATCCCCCCTTATGTATTATACATGGAGATCATATCCCCCTTATGTATTATACATGGAGATCATATCCCCCCCCTTTATGTATTATACATGGTGATCATATCCCCCCCCTTTATGTATTCTACATGGAGATCATATCCCCCCCCTTTATGTATTATACATGGAGATCATATCCCCCCCCTTTATGTATTATACATGGAGATCATATCCCCCCCCTTTATGTATTATACATGGAGATCATATCCCCCCCTTAATCTCCTCTTCTCAAGAGAGAATATATTCAGTATGATCAGAGTGATGCACAAAAAAAGACAAGAATCTTATTAAACCTGAAATGAACAGTACCTCATCTTGTTCTTGTTGCTGGGAGGTTCCGCTATGATACCAGCATACAGCCACACCTGGTTGCCATCTTTGTACCTGGCCACTACTCTGCTCCCAACAAACAGTTTATCTAGTGGTGGATGGTAGTCATATGCTATATGGTTGCCAGATAGCAGACTCTTCCCTTTGTTGTCAAATTTCACTTTGTATTTTTTACCCGGTCCTACAAAAACAGGAAAAAAAAAAGTTTAAAAAATAAAAAGCATTCAAGTACTTGTAATCATTTACTAAACATTACCCCTCCCATTCATCAACCATAGATCTATGTATGTGGCTTAATAACTATTGGGGCTCTGTCAGCTGACTGCCATGTTAAAGTTTATGTTGGGCCCAGGGGCGGACTGACAACTCATGGGGCCCCCGGGCAATAGGGGATCATGGGGCCCCTGTGTCCTTACCCAAACTCAAAAAAGCCTATGAAAAAAGGTACCAGGGGCATTTCATGGGGCCCTATACTGACCCTGGGCCCTCGGGCAGTGCCCGAGTTTCCAAATGGTCAGTCTGCCCCTGGTTGGGCCCTTTCCCACCTTTCACCCAATTAAAAATAAAAAAACTAAAATGAAAGCCCCAAATACTTACCTTAATCCATGCTTGTGTGATGCTCTGGATCCATAGTCTTCCATAATCTGGAGTGTAGAGTGGGTGGGTCCCCTCTTTGAGTTCCCTAGTATCTATGTGGGTGACCTTTCCTATTGACTATCCAGCAGCGAGAGGTCCTTGCAGGCTACAGTAGTGTGATGATGTCATGAGGGGGAGGCAACAAGACCAACTGGCAGAGGCCTTGAACCAAAAATCTGGACCACTGGTCACCACTTCCAGAAGAGGCACCAGCAAGGGACACAGACAGCTGACTCAGTATTCCAAATGCTTTGGAAGGCATTAAAAAAAAAAAAAAAGTTGGTGGAAGGCAGGGATGGACTGACCAATCATGGGGCCCTCGGGCAATAGGGGATCATGGCGCCCCTGTGTCCTTGCCCAAACTCAAAAAAGCCTATGAAAAAGGTACCAGGGGCATCTCATGGGGCCCCTTACTGACCCCGGGCCCTCGGGCAGTGCCTGAGTTTCCAAATGGTCAGTCCGCCCCTAGTGGGAGGGATACTAAGTTTGCCACAGAGATCTCACTTAAAGCGGAGCTCCACCCAAAAGGGGAAGTTCCACTTTAAGCCTTTGTCCCCCGTTCCCCATTAAGGACTGGCACCTTTTGGGGGCGGGGGGGTACCCGAATTTGACAGGTACCCATTCCCACTGCCTAGGTGATCAGAAGTGGCAGTTGTCCTCCTCCCCTCCCTTCCCGTAGTCTTCAGGGACATGTGACAGATCCCAGAAGACTACGGGGCCATTCACAAAGTGCAGCGCTTTTCACGCATGCACAGTGGGCATTCAGCTGTGAGCCGCAAGTTGTCACAGCCGGGTGCCCACACTGAAGATGCCAGCACCAGGGAGAGAGGACGGCCCCAGTAGACGGCCCCTCCCTTCCCGTAGTCTTCAGGGACATGTGACAGATCCCAGAAGACTACGGGGCCATTCACAAAGTGCAGCGCTTTTCACGCATGCACAGTGGGCACCCAGCTGTGAGCCGCAAGTTGTCACAGCCGGGTGCCCACACTGAAGATGCCAGCACCAGGGAGAGAAGACGGCCGGTGAAACCAGCGGTGGTGAGGACACCACTGGACCAAGGGACAGGTAAGTGGCTGTATTTTAAAAGTCAGCAGATACAGTTTTTTTTAGCTGCTGATTTTTTTTTTTTTTTTTTCTCAGGTGGAGCTCCACTTTAATCTAGCTGCATTGCGATTTAGTAAAACAAAGCTACCTTGTTTTAACTTTTCCAGAGCTTTGGTGCAGAACCTTTTTTTTTTTTTTTGGGGGGGGGGGGGAGATTAAAAGCTAGGCCTAGATCTATAGCAAGGTGACACCAAATCCTGCAAAACAGGCCTGTCTATACCATGCGACATAATATATCACTCCCTGCCAAGTACAACAAGGTGAATACCAGAAATGTCACAAGTGGAGAAATACAATTCGTTTTCATTGACTGCTGTAACATCAACTGCTTTTTACTGCCCTTCATAAACCAATCGAAAACCTGAGCACTTACCGACCATCTGAATGGAAATCAAGGTCCCTTTGTGCCATGTTTTGGTCCTCTTCTTGCCAAGAATTCTCATACCCACAACAAGGTCTCCATCCTTTTTCATGTCATTGGCTGCATTGGCCTGGTTGGGACCACCCACAGAACTTGAAGGTGAAGAAGGATGAGAAGACAATCGAGTTTGGGGTCCATCTAAAAAAAAAAGTTACTTAATAGTTTTGTTTTCATTTTCCAAAATGACGACAAAAAAATGACAGCTACAAAAAACTCGCCATGCCTGTTATGAAATATGTCGGACTGTCTACTTTGCAAAAGAGGGTCAATTGGGGGATATCTGTACTGTTCTGACAGTTTTGGGCTCCAAGAAATTAGTTTGGCCGTCAGTACCGGATTGATCAATTTTCATATATATTTCATCGTTTGTGAACTCTAACTTTACTACAGATGAAATAAAAAATACTGATTTGAATTACTTTCACCAAAAAAATGTAGCAGAATACATTTTGGCCTAAATTTATGAAGAAGATTTATTTGTAAACTTTTATAACAGAAACAAAGAAAAATGTGGGTTTTTTTTTTTTTTTTTTAATTTTTGGTCCTTTTTTGTTAATTTAGAAAAAAATAAAATCCCCAGCGGTGATTTAATACCAAAAGAAAGCTAGTTGTGAGAACAAAATGTTAAAGATTTAGCTTGGGTATGGTGTTGCATGACCGCGCAATTGTCAAAGTGTGAAAGCGCTGAAACCTGAAAATTAGCATGGGCAGGAAAGGGGTGAAAGTGCCCGGTATGGAAGGGGTTAAGACAGCAGCACATAACAGGAATCAATGCAGAAGAGGGAAACAAGCTGTGTAGCCTACCAGACTTCTTGTGGATGGCTTCCACCAAATTCTGTACATCTTTTTGGCATTTCTTCATGGCAGCCATAGCATCTTTCAACTAAAACAAATCATTAAAGCCAGAGGGATGTACATTATACTTTATCGAAATGTGAAAATTTAATTTTTTTTTTTATTTCTAGTGGTGCACCAAATTTAAATTTCTGGTGCCGAAAGCAAAAATTCAGGAGGATTCACTTGGACGAAAATAATTTTTTTTTAAAAGTGTGTATATTTTTCAAACTTTAATGAACCCCCCCCCCACATTATATACACCCCAATTATAATAACAACAAACAATTCATCAAACAAAATAACATGTTACTCACCAGTCGTTTCTCTTTGGGAGTTTTACTAACAACTGCATCTCCTGTTAAAAAAAAATATATATATAATAATAATATATATGAAATTAACAGGTGCACTAGATGGGCAACAATGAGACAACCCCTAAAGCAAGAATGGTTTCACAGGTGGAAGCCACTGACATTTATTTCCCTACTCATCTTTTCTGACTGTTTTTCACTAGTTTTGCATCTGGCTAGGGTCAGTGTCACTACTGGTAGCATGAGGCCAAACCTGGACCCTACAGAGGTTGCACAGGTAGTCCAACTCCTCCAGGATGGCCCATCAATACGTACCATTGCCAGAAGGTTTGCTGTGTCTCCCAGCACAGTCTCAAGAGTATGGAGGAGATTCCAGGAGACAAGAGCATGGAGGAGATTCCAGGAGACAAGAGCATGGAGGAGATTCCAGGAGATAGGCAGTTACTCTAGGAGAGCTGGACAGGGCTGTAGAAGATCCTTAACCCATCAGCAGGACCGGTTTCTGCTCCTTTGTGCAAGGAGGAACAGGATGAGCACTGCCAGAGCCCTACAAAATGATCTCCAGCAGGCCACTGGTGTGAATGTCTCTGATCAAACAATCAGAAACAGACTTCATGAGGGTGGCTTGAGGGCCCGATGTCCTCTAGTGGGCTCTGTGCTCACTGCCCGACACCATAGAGCTCGATTGGCATTTGCCATTGAACACCAGAATTGGCAGGTCCACCACTGGCATCCTGTACTTTTCACAGATGAGAGCAGGTTCACCCTGAGCACATGTGACAGACGTGAAAGGGTCTGGAGAATCCGTGGAGAATGTGCTGCTGCCTGTAACATGGTTCAGTATGACCGTTTTGGTGGTGGGTCAGTGATGGTCTGGGGAGGCATATCCATGGAGGGACGCACAGACCTCTATAGGCTAGACAATGGCACCCTGACTGCCATTAGAAAATCGGGATGAAATCCTTGGACCCATTGTCAGACCCTACACTGGTGCAGTGGGTCCTGGGTTCCTCCTGGTGCAGTGGGTCCCGGGTTCCTCCTGCAGTGGGTCCTGGGTTCCTCCTGGTGCACGACAATGCCTGGCCTCATGTGGCGAAAGTATGCAGGCAGTTCCTGAAGGATGAAGGAATTGATACCACTGAATGGCCCCCACGCACGCCTGACCTAAATCCAATAGAACACCTCTGGGATATCATGTTTCAGTCCATCCGAAGCCACCAGGTTGCACCTCAGACTGTCCAGGAGCTCAGTGATGCCCTGGTCCAGATCTGGGAGGAGATCCCCCAGGACACCATCCATGGTCTCATTAGGAGCCTCCCCCGACATTGTCAGGCACGCATACAAGTACGTGGGGGCCATACAAGCTACTGAGGACCATTCTGAGTTGCTGAAATAAAATTTCTGCAAAATGGACTCGCCTGCTGCATCATTTTTTCACTTTGATTTTCGGGGTGTCTTTGAATTCAGTCCTCTGTAGGTCGATCATTTTCATCAAACGATGGGGCATCCTTACATTCCTAACACATTACCCCGTCCATGTCAGTACAGAGATCCAGGATGATATTTTTCCTCATTGAGATCTAATGGGTTTTCAGAGTGTTCCTTTCATTTTTTTGAGCCGTGTATTTCAGGAAGTATGAACAGATGCTGCCATTAGAAGATCCCATTCATCTTTCATGCTATTTAATAGTTTATTAAGCCAATTACAAGCAGGCCAGTCCTGAATTTTTCCCACTGCTTCAGCTGAAGACTTTTATCTCCTTATCATAAATAAGGTGATTTCCAAAGAACATTTAACGCGACACTAAAGCTTCTTTTTCTTTGAAATTAAAATAACAATCATGGTATAATTACATGCTCTGTGCAGTGATTTTGCACAGAGCAGCCTCGATCCTCTTGAAACTGCATACAGGGTACTCACCATTCAAGGCTGACCTGCTAGAGATCACATGCTGATGGATGTGTCTATGTGCCTGCTTGGTCTTCAACCACGATCAGTGAATATTCACTTTTATTCTTATCACAAGAAACGCTTCCATCCCTTGTGATAGAAATAATTAGTGACAGGTCCTCTTTATGCAGAGATATGAGGTCAATAAGACCCCACATCTCTCCTCTACAATGTAAAGCATTGGATCAAAAAAAAAAAAAAAAAATCATTGATCTAGTAGTGCTTTAAAAAAAAAAAAGGCTGGAACCAGAAGGGATATCACTTCGGTCCTCAGAGGGCATAGAGATGAGTGGAGGCCATCTTTCCTTCACTCATCTCTATGCCCAGTGCCTGGATCGTTCGATGGTTTCTCAGCGGCGAGGTTTTTTTGGCACCTGTATCAGTGCATTTTTTCATTTTGGCCAACGGCCAAAAGGGGTGTTTTCGGCTGGAATGTTACGGCCACCAAATTTTCTGTGGCCGGACCGCTTCGGCCAGCCAATTCTCGGTGGCCGGACCGCTGCTCTGTGCAGTGATTTTGCCTCGATCCTCTTGAAACTGCATACAGGGTACACACCATTCAAGGCTGACCTGCTAGAGATCACATGCTGATGGATGTGTCTATGTGCCTGCTTGGTCTGCAACCACGATCAGTGAATATGAGGAAAAGAAGTAGCCGCACTCCAATATACAAACAGCAGACTTCTCTATAATTCAATCCATGAAGATAAAAATACAGCAATACACGGCTCTGGGAACATCAGTAGATGCATGTCACACTCCTTCAGTTCTTATTCATTACCGAGCAATGAATAAGTGATGAATACGCACTGAAGGAGGGTGACATGCATCTACTGATGTTCCCACAGCCATGTATTGCTGTCTTTTTATCTTCATGGATTGAATAATAAAAAAGTCTGCCGTTTGTATTAGTGGTGCACCAAAATAAAAATGCTGGTGCAGAAACCGAAAATTCAAAACGCACTTGGCCGAAAACAAAAATGCGCAGTTTTTAAAAATTAATATATATTTTTTGGAAAAAAATAAACTGATTAAAATATATATATATATATATATATATATATATATATATATATCCCAATTTTTTTGTAAAATATGAAAGAGGATGTTACGGCGAGTAAATAGATACCCAACATGTCACACTTTAAAATTGCGCATGCTCGTGGAATGGCGCGAAACTGCAGCACTTAAAAATCTCCATGGGTGATGCTTTAAAAATGTCTAAAGGGTAGCAGTGTAAAGTAACAGAGGAGGTCTAGTGTGAGAGTTATTGCTCTTGCTCCGACGTTCGTGGCAATACCTTACGTGTGTGGTTTGAACACCGTTTACATAGGTGGGCATGGCCTACGTATGTGTTCACCACTACGTGCGAGCACGGGGGCACTTTAAACTTTCTTCTTTAATCTATTTGGGTTTTTTTGTTTTGTTTTTTGCACTGTCCCTTTAAAAACATCTTTTTAATCACTTTTATTCCTATCAGAAGGAATGCATGCAACCCTTGTGATAGAAATAATTAGTGACAGGTCCTCTTTATGGAGAGATATGGGGTCAATAAGACCCCCCCATCTCTCCTCTACAATGTAAAGCATTAGATTAAAAAAAAAGAAAAAAAAAAGCATTGATCTAGTGCTTTAAAAAAAAAAAAAAAAAAAAAAAATGGCCGGAACGGGAAGTGACATTGCTCCGGTCCTCCAAGGGCATAGAGATGAGTGGAGGCCATCTTTTCTTCACTCATCTCTATACCCAGCGCCGAGATCGATGGTTTCTCAGGTAAGGCTGAGAACTACTGGGCGGCGGCATGGGGCGGGGTTTTTCAGCACCTGTATCAGTGCTATTTTCATTTTGGCCAATGGCCAAAAGGGGTGTTTTCGGCCAAAACGGTTCAGTCACTGAAATTCCGGCGCATCCCTAGTTTGTATATTGGAGTGCCGCTACTTCTTTTTCTCAAGCCCCGATTCTCTTCTGGCGTCCTCCTCTGGTGCTCCAGGCTCCTCCTCTTCAGCGGCCAGAGCCGCTCTTGTGCACGTCACTGTATCAGATCAGGCTCAGGTAAGTATAATGGGGGGCTCGGGGGGGACCTGCAGCACAGAAGGTTTTGCATCTTAATGCACAGAATGCACGAAGGTGAAAAACCTTAAGGCTTTAGAACCACTTTACTATCACGTATATGTCTCTACTGAAATACTTGTATGGCATTTACTTTGTTACACTGCCAAGCTTTTGTAAGGGTTAAACATCATAAACATAGGAGGAAAAAAAAAAAAATGCATGTTCACCTACCTGATCCCACACTCAGGACATCATCGTCCTCCTCATCCTCATCTGGAATTTCAATGACTTCCACAGGTTTGGAAGATTCATCGTCCTCTGAGCTGGTCTCCTTGTATGTGATGCCCATCTCACTGTACAGGGTTTTCACCAACACCTCACAGTCCTCAAGAGCCCTGCAATAGGCAGAATTGTAAAATGTAATGGTATCTACTTCCCATCAAAGAATTATCCAGGATCAGACAACAGATCCACATGATGGATCTCAAAACAATATTTTCCAAAACAGGAGCTCACCTACTATGATGTATCCTCAGACGGTAATGCCCATTAGGAGACGCTTAAAGGATAAGTTCACCTTTGGGAACAGGTTATATGTTCCAGCCATTTTGAGGGGGAACATGTAACATGTTCCCATAGCCGCAGCCACTGCCCCCCCTCTGGCTGACAGATAGTACTGGGAAACTTCTCCCCGTACTATGTCAAATTTGAAAACAGTGCGGCCATGCGGGGCTCTGCTCATGCGGCCGCCTCACCCGTCCACCTGCCGCCCACGCCGCCGCCTCACCCGTCCACCTGCCCCTCACGCGGCCTCCTCACCCGTCCACCTGCCGCCCACGCCGCCGCCTCACCCGTCCACCTGCCGCCCACGCGGCCCCCTCACCCGTCCACCTGCCGCCCACGCGGCCCCCCCTCACCCGTCCACCTGCCGCCCACGCGGCCCCCTCACCCGTCCACCTGCCGCCCACGCGGCCCCCTCACCCGTCCACCTGCCCCTCACCCGGCCCCCTCACCCGTCCACCTGCCCCTCACCCGGCCCCCCTCACCCGTCCACCTGCCCCTCACCCGGCCCCCCTCACCCGTCCACCTGCCCCTCACCCGGCCCCCTCACCCGTCCACCTGCCCCTCACCCGGCCCCCTCACCCGTCCACCTGCCCCTCACCCGGCCCCCTCACCCGTCCACCTGCCCCTCACGCGGCCCCCTCACCCGTCCACCTGCCCCTCACGCGGCCCCCTCACACATACATACATACATACATATATATATGTATGTATGATTTTGCATTGCCAGGTAGGGGGCACGTTATAAGTTCCAAGGAACAGGGCCCTCCTATCCCTCTTGTATTGAACTGTATTGTTGCTGTATTGTCTCCCGTTATATTGTAAAGTGCTGAGCAAACTAAATATAAATAACTATATAAATCCTGTATAATAATAATAATGTTTTAATGAACGATCACATAGTTAAAGCAAGGTAACGTTTCAGAGTCTGGCAGGACCCCTTCATCAGGCATGTGACCCATGATGAAGGGGTCCTGCGAGACTCCGAAACGTTGCCTTGCTGTAACTATGTGATCATTCATTAAAGCTTTTGGACCCATATTGGTGATCCTCGGTGTGCTGGTGACATTCTCCCTTGCTGATTCTACTTGGTTTCAGCCAACGGTCGCTGCATCACCCACTTATACACACAGCCATTTTTAACGCAAGAATGTGTGCCTTTGGATTGTACACTGGAGCTTCACTGTAAGCACACTGCTTTGTATGGCTCTGCATAGCAGTTTGCAGGAGCTGACAGGTGAGAGATCTCTCCCCCCGTTGGCAATGCTCGGCAGTCATCGGGTGCCAGCGAGTAATCACCGGCCGGGACCTGGTGATTGACAGCCAAGGCCGCGAATAGCAGCGCGGGTAGGGCGCGCGCCCCCTATCCAGAAATGCAAAATCACATACATACATATTATATATATATATATATATATATATATATATATATATATATATATATATATATATATATATATATATATATATATATATATATATATATATATATACACACATACACACACACATGATTTTGCACACCCTGCCGCCCTGTAGCAGTATATCTGCTACAGGGAGGTGGGAAAGCGGTTAAACACAAGGACAGACAGACACAAATTTGCATTTCTGCCAGTAGGTATTTCCTTTAAATGCCCTGACATGATCCAACATTCCAGAAACACATAATAATGAATCCAATCCATTCACATTACATGTCCATATGACGGGATGTTGTTCAGTGTTGTAACTACATACACTTAAAAAAAAATATATATATATATATATATATAATGACTATTCAGACCACAGCTTGTCTTATCAAAAGCATTCAGTGGGGCTCCCATTTACCTACAATTACGGGGGGAATGATAGAAAGAATCTTATTGGTTGTTTTGTGACATTTGACTACATTAGCCGCCAACCTCAATACCGATGAATGGTTTGTCCCATTACCTTGAAGCATTGTCACACAAGCTGTCCACGTGAGCCACCTCATCCTCCTTCTGCTTCACCAGTTGCTCCAGCTCCAACAACTGAGCTTTCCGCTGCTTCACAAACTCATTCTTCTCCACCTCTTTGTCTATAAACTCCTGAAGCTCCTTCAATGAGATGCCCAACTCCTCCACCACCATGTTCTCCAGATCGCCCACATCTGATTCGTCCATGGCTGCATCGAATCAAAGCAAAAAGAGAGTGAAAAGTAATGTAGGAAACAAGAAAATTTATTTTTTTCAAATGCAACTGAATTAGTGGTGGAAAATTCAAAATGCACTTTGCCGGAAACCGAAACGCGCCATTTTTAAAACTATATTTTTTGGGAAAAAACACACTTTGGTTAAATTAAAAAGAAAAAAAAAAACAATATATACCCCAATTTTTTAAAAAAAAAATGAATATATATTTTTTGGAAAAAAATAAACTGATTAAAAAAAAAAATATATATATATATATACCAATTTGTTTGCAAAATATGAAAGAGGATGTTACGGCGAGTAAATAGATACCCAACATGTCACGCTTTAAAATTGTGCACGCTCGTGGAATGGCTTGAAACTGCGGTACTTAATAATCTCCATGGGTGATGCTTTAAAAATGTCTACAGGTTAGCAGTGTAAAGTTACAGAGGAGGTCTAGTGCGAGAATTATTGCTCTTGCTCTGACATTCGTGGCGATACCTCACATGTGGTTTGAACACCATTTACATATGTGGGCGTGGCCTACGTATGCGTTCACCACTACGTGCGAGCACGGGGGGGACGGGGCACTTTAAACTTTTTTTTATTTATTAACTTTTTGTTGTTCTGTTTTTTTGCGCTGTCCCTTTTAAAAAAATGTATTCACTTTTATTCTTATCACAAGAAACGCTTCCATCCCTTGTGATAGAAATAATTAGTGACCGGTCCTCTTTATGGAGAGATATGAGGTCAATAAGACCCCACATCTCTCCTCTGCAATGTGAAGCATTGGAGCAAAAAAAAAAAAAAATCATTGATCTAGTGCTTTAAAAAAAAAAAAAAAATGGTCGGTACCGGAAAGGGATATCACTTTGGTCCTCAGAGGGCATAGAGATGAGTGGAGGCCATCTTTCCTTCACTCATCTCTATGCCCAGCGCCTCGATCGTTCAATGGTTTCTCAAGCGGTTTTCGGTGGCCGGACTGCTTCGGCCAACCAATTAGACCAGCCAATTGTCGGTGGCCGGACCGATTCGGCCAGCCAATTGTCGGTGGCCGGACCGATTCGACCAGCCAATTGTCGGTGGCCGGACCGATTCGACCAGCCAATTGTCGGTGGCCGGACCGATTCGACCAGCCAATTGTCGGTGGCCGGACCGATTCGGCCAGCCAATTGTCGGTGGCCGGACCGATTCGGCCAGCCAATTGTCGGTGGCCGGACCGATTCGGCCAGCCAATTGTCGGTGGCCGGACCGATTCGGCCAGCCAATTGTCGGTGGCCGGACCGATTCGGCCAGCCAATTGTCGGTGGCCGGACCGATTCGGCCAGCCAATTGTCGGTGGCCGGACCGATTCGGCCAGCCAATTGTCGGTGGCCGGACCGATTCGGCCAGCCAATTGTCGGTGGCCGGACCGATTCGGCCAGCCAATTGTCGGTGGCCGGACCGATTCGACCAGCCAATTGTCGGTGGCCGGACCGCTTTGGCCAGCCAATTTTCGGTGCATCCCTAAAGTGAACACTTGCATTCTAGGTGTTGCATGAAAATGGTACTAGAATAACACTTGCTCTTCTAGGCGGAGTTTTTGAAGCGCACTGCAATAGTGCCGACGGCGTGGAACTGTTTACAATGCCATAGCCTCCTTGTGCTGGTGGCCCCGGCGTGTGGGTTCTATGGGGTTTCCCTCTGAAAGCAGAAGACTGGTTTAGCCCATAAACCCCCTAAAAGTAACTTCAATGATGTGAATTGTTCCACAAGCTCTCAGCATTGATAACAAATGACCAACCAAGTGCCCTACAAAGGCCGGGGTCTGCAGAAGGAAATGAAGCCTTCGCTGGGAGGGACTAGCCATTGCTGGGAGGGACTAGCCATTGCTGGGAGGGTCTAGCCATTGCTGGGAGGGTCTAGCCATTGCTGGGAGGGACTAGCCATTGCTGGGAGGGACTAGCCATTGCTGGGAGGGACTAGCCATTGCTGGGAGGGACTAGCCATTGCTGGGAGGGACTAGCCATTGCTGGGAGGGACTAGCCATTGCTGGGAGGGACTAGCCATTGCTGGGAGGGACTAGCCATTACTGGGAAGGACTAGCCATTACTGGGAGGGACTAGCCATTACTGGGAGGGACTAGCCATTACTAGCATAGCATACCATCCAGCAGTAGCAACATTTTTATCCACGTTCCATTTTTTTGGTGTATCAGCTGGTAGGACATTTGCAACAATATCTCAAGTTACAGTTTAGTATCAAAACAATTACCGGCGTACCTCGGTTTATGAATTTAATTTGTTCTGCGGGACTTTTCATATTGCGAAAAATTTGTAAACCGAAATGCGGTTTCCCATAGGAATGCATTGAAAACCAATTAATCCGTTCCGGAGGTCAGAAAAAAGTTTTTAAAAAAAGTCTTTTATCTGTTCAAAACTATTTATAAAGTGCATTTAAAGGCGTAAATACTTTCCAGGGACATGATTAAAAAAAATTTGTAAATACATTGAAAACCAATTCATCAGTTTGTATTGCAAAACAAATTAGTGAATGCACTGAAAATCAATTAATCAGTTCCGGAGGTCAATAAAAAGTAAAAAAAAAAAAAAAGTCTTTGATCTGTTCAACACTCTTTATAAAGTGCACTTTAAAGGCATAAATACTGTACAGGGACATGATTAATAATTCGTAAATGCATTGAAAACCAATTAATCCATTCATATTGCGAAAAAAATTCATAAGTGTATTGAAAATCAATTAATCCGTTTCGGAGGTCAGAAAAAAGTTAAAAAAAAGTCTTTAATCTATTCAAAACTCTTTATAAAGTGCACTTTAAAGGTATAAATACTGAACAGGGACAGGATTAATGATTTGCAAATGCATTGAAAACCAATTAATCAGATCGTATTGCAAAAATTTGTAAACCGAGGCATTATTTTCATTGGTAAACCGAAAATTACATTAGCCGAGGCGTTGGTAAACCGAGGCACGTCTGTACTGTAACACTAAAAAAAATACCCAAAAGCCCTCCTGTTCACTTTTTTTTTTGTGCTGTATCTGGTGGGACATCCAGGAATGAGGGGTATTAGGGGATTACATACTATCAGCACAGGATTACCACCTTTAACCACTCGCCTACAGGGCATTTATACCCCCTTCCTGCCCAGGACAATTTTCAGCTGTCAGCGCTGTCAAAATTTGAATTGCGCGGTCATGCAACACTGTACCCATATGAAATTTTTATAATTGTTTTCACACAAATACAGCTTTCTTTTGGTGGGGTTTAGTCACTGCTGGGGGTTTTATTTTTTGCACTATAACTAAAAGATGAGCAACAAAAAATTTTTTCTTTGTTTCTATTATAAAATTTTGCAAAACAGGTAATTGTTCTCCCTCACTGATGTGTGTTGATGTGGTGGCACTGATATGCAGCAATGATGGCGGGGGGTGTCTCAAGGAGGGCTTATCCAGGTGGGGGGGGTCCCGGAGGGCCCCGCGCTAATCATGGGTGGGGGGGGCCCGGAAGGCCCCGCACTCATCCCGGGTGGGGGGTCCCGGAGGGTCCCACGCTCATCCCGGGTGGGGGGGTCCAGGAGGGTCCCGCGCTCATCCCGGGTGCGATCCCGGGGGGTCCCGCGCTCATCCCGGGTGGGCGATCCCGGGGGGTCCCGCGCTCATCCCGGGTGGGCGATCCCGGGGGGTCCCACGCTCATCCTGGGTGAGGGTCCCGCGCTCATCCCGTGTGGGGGGTCCCGGAGGCCCCCACGCTCATCATGGGTGGGGGGTCCCGCAGGGCCCCACGCTCATCCTAGATGGAGGGTCCCGGAGAGCCCCACGCTCATCCTGGGTGGGGGGTCCCACAGGGTACAGGGCCCGTAGTGGGGTCTGAGAGAACCCAATGCTCATCGTAAGGGGCGGGATCCCAGAAAACCCTGGGCCCATTGTGGGGAGGGGGGGTCCTGAAGGGCCCTATGCTCATCAAGGATGGGGGGCTTCCAGGAGAGCCCCATGTTCATTGGGGGAAGGGGGAGAATGGGTCCCTGAGGGCCCTACTCTCATCGTGTTTGGGGGGGGGGGTGTAATCTGCCAGTCCCGGATAAAGGAGTTCCCCTCCCCCACGTGTATCTGTGCACCTCCCCCACTCTCTGTACTGGTCACTGTACCGGCAGACGATGGCCGCCTCTCTGCGTTCTCCTCCTCCGCCGTCTTCCCGGTAACCCCCTTCCTGTCCCCGGTTGCCGGAATGACGGACCGGAAGTCTGGCTCCGGAACCGAAAAACCACACTAGCTGCGCCCGGAACTGGCGTCACATAAACCACGCCCACCGAGAAAAGGGGGCGCGGCCTGCAATAAGCGGGAGTAGGAGAGGAAAAAAATATTCCGCGCTTTTGTCCGGTGGGCGGGGAAAGAGTGGGCGTGGCGACATGGTGGGGACATGCGATAGCCTGCCTCTATCGCTCAGCCATTCGCTGGCCGATGCCGCGATCGTCGGAGTTATGCAAATATGAACAAAAGACGGCACATGACACATTGTGGGAGGAGCTCTGTGTGCACGGAGGGAGGGGTTATAGGGGTGATTGACGGGAGAAATACTAGTTAGGGTGGGGTTTGCATTTAAAGGGCCAGTACATGTAAATTAAAGTGTCCTTAACCCCTTCTATCAATGAAATATGGAGCCGCGATTGTGGGTGGATTCTGGAGATGAGCTCAGCTGACCTCCAAACTTATCTCTGTCCGAACTCCCAGTCGGCTTTGTCTTCCAGTCCAATCAGCGACAGGCCGGTCATTATCCCCACAGTGCGCATATCCAAAGGGGGCGGGGTTCTGATGATGTCACTGCCTTTATACGTACATATGTTCATATATATTCACCTAACGGCCTGCCTTAACCCCGCCATGATATCCCCAACAACCCAACCTGAACCTTGCCATGATATCCCCAACAACCCAGCCCAAACCCCGCCATTATATCCCCAACAACCCAGCCCGAACCCCGCCATGATATCCCC